CTCTTCCCGGGCTACAAAGGGGTTGAGGCGGGTAGGGCTAAGACAGCCCCAGGAGATCAGGCTGCACCTCGGGAATGGGGAGGAAGACTCCCTGATTGGCTTAAGAAGAGCCTGCCTCCTCCTCAAATGCCCCTCCTTTCAGCCAGGCTACCTACCCTGCAAGAGGAGGGGCAACCGCGCATCAGGAGAAGCAGCAGCTCTGTCACCAAAGCCCCATGGGAGTCATTGTCCAGGGTGTGTGTGTGTGTGTGTGTGTGTGTGTGTGTGTGTGTGTGGAGTGCACTTGGAGTAGGTCAGGGAAATAAAGTGGAAGGGGGTTCAGGGGAGCCCTGGGAATACTGAGGCCTTCTCCAGGACATTACCAGTCAAGTTTAAGTACTAGCCGTGGCCTGAGGTTGTCTGGATTAGAAGAGGGACAGCAGGGGGGCTCCAAGGGCCTCCACCTTGCCCTCTCTGAGGGATGGAGGCTTTGATCCTGGGCTCTGAGACTTGTAAATAATGTCCCTGGCCCTGGCAACCTGGGACCTCTCCAAGGGCAGCTGGCTGACGAGGCAGACCCTTGCCTATCTTGGCGGGAAGACCTGGCCCTGCTGCTGTGGGCTGTGATGGGTTTACGGCCAGGCGGCTCACAGTAGTTACCTCAGATTTATCACCCTTCTATGAGGGCAGTGGGAGCCGCCAAAGGCTGCCAGGGAGACCTTAAATCACTGTGATGGGAAATGCTGTCGGAGGGAGCGGAGGGAGCAGCGGAGGGGCAGGTAGGAGCCGTCCTGGGGGCTGGAGCTTCCTGCCTGCTCCTCAGGTTACAGTCCTTTCAAGAGGAGGATTTATAACCCCCGGAGCCCAGTGGAGCCAAGCAGCCCCCAGGGAGGATCCGGAAGCTGAGCCAAGAGAACCAGGGTGTCCAGTGCCAGCTAGGAAGAGCAGGGACCCAACACCCCAACTGCTGCTGGTGTGGCTTTGAGAGAAAGCCGCTCAGGCTCCCTCAATGCAGGTGTGCTGTCACCGCACATGTGCTTGCCTAGGCCATCTCACCTCCCTGCCAGTATGCCCACCTGCAGGGTCTTCATGGGGACCCTGTGTGTACAGACATCTGTACCTTTTCTCTAGGTGTGTGCCAGGTCTGTTTTAGAGTATATATCAGCAAATAGTCACATGTCTGCAAGGAGACCATCCTCCTCGTACTCCAGTATGAGGCTGGTCATGTGTCTGTGAATTAGTGACGCGCACGTGGAGGATCATGGACACATTCAAAAGTAGAGGACGGCAGCTCTCTGTCCGTGCCTGGCCATGGGGGTGAGCCTGGGACAATAAATGAGAAATCCCAAGAAGGGAAGGAGACAAGCTCCTGGTGGTGGCAATGTTTAATAGAAGGGCAAGTACCAAACGGGATGGGAGAAAAGAGAAGGTGGGCACGGGGTAGGCGGGAAGAGACATAAGGAACAGAGAGAGAGGGAGCTAAAAGGAAGCACCCAGATGTCCAGACAATGTAGCCAAATCAGCCCCAAATGTGGTCAGAGAAAATAGGAAGACATGCATGTGGTGAAGAGGTACAAGAAGAAAAGCAGAAAGGACATGGGGAGGGAGGAAGGTGACCCAAGAAGGGAGCAGTAGAGTGGAGCAGCCAGGAGGGAGCACCATCTGCTCCAGAGGGCACGGGGACCTGGACTTGGCAGCTGTTCACACTTCAGACACCTCCATGAGTGACAGCTGGCTGAGCAGCAGGACCCAGGGCAGTCTGCCCTCTGCCCACTCCCCCTGCCACAAGATGGCAGCCAGCCAATCCCAGTCCAGCACACAGGAGAGTTTGCCAGGCTAGGGAAGAGTCAGGAATGCAAACATGCCACCTTGGGGTGTGCACACAAAGCAGTGGTCTCTGCCCTCAGATGTAGTGGGCCCATGTGCACTGCAGGCACCTTTGCAAAGCCCAAGCTGCACCGAACACACAAATGTTAGCAGGCACTGCATGTGTCCCTTTGCATGGGGACCTCCCTATGTGCTCTTTGTACACTCCTGTTCCGATTATATGATGACTCACTTGGAGATAGTAAATTTGATCCAGGCAGCCTCTTCCTGCAGCACTAGCAGTTCCTAAGTTTGGCTCTGCAGTCTTCCCTTTCTGTCCTTGAGTTTGCAGTGTAGGGTCTTCTGGTCTGGCAGCCTGGGCTGGGCTGGGCCAGCTCAACTCCAGCAGCCTAAACCCAAAAAGGTAAGGTCTGCACCTCTGATGCTGAAAGTGGCACAGAGCCTGCAACTCACTTCTGCAGGCCCAGCTTTGTCACGGTGGACAACGTGGTAAGGGTGTGAGGAGTTGGAGGTATAGCTATGTGTTTGTGGTTGTGCATCTTGGGTGTGTCTGTGTGCCCATATATCATGGGAGTCACAAAGGTCAGATGCTGGGTAGGCTGAACCAAGTGATAATTCTCCAGATGAGATATGTGGACCCTTGGGTGCCTTGAAAATTCCCCCAGTTGTACCCCTGACTGCCTGCCTCCTGCCCATCTTTCACCAGTTCAAATTCAACCTCCCTCTTGAGACATTCTTCCTCTGCACTCCCACAGCTCCATATGTGTGGGAACAAAACACTTTAATTGATCTATTTTCAATGATTTTGTACATACGAAGATACATAATGACCCAAGCCACACTTATTGTAGTGGGAAGGCTGTGAGGAGGCCACCGTGAGCTCCACTTCTACAAAGTGTCCATGCCTTTGAACGGTCCTCTCCCTTTGAAAATGGACTGCACCTGTGACTTGCTCCGGATAGACTCTGGCAAAGGTGATGGACAGTCACCCCAAGATTACACTCCATTGAATAAGACTTGGTCTTGCCACCTAACTCACTCTAGAGATTCTCCTTCCAGGCTTGGTAAAGCAAAGTCATTTGGAAAAGCTCTTGTGATGAGGAACCATGAGTGGCCTTTACTAGCCCCATCCAGCAACCAAGACCCTGGGTCCTACAGCCCCATGGACTGTACCAACAATCTGAGTGAGTTAGGAAGCAGACTCTTCCCCTGTTGAGACTCCAGATGAGAACGCAGCCCAGTTGCTATCTTCCGTGTAGCCTCCGGAGACCCATAAGCATCAGGTGAACCATATCATTGAATTGTGAGATAATATGAAAGTTGCTAAATTTGTAGTTCCTTATTATATAGCAATAGAAAACTAATACCCACATACCCTCCACTTGATATAATAAACTTCATAATCCAACTGAAGCCTCTGTGAACCTTTCCTTGCTTGCATTTCCCTTCCTGTCAAATACTTCTTGATATTTGCCTAGGTGTGTGTCCTTAAAGAACATCAGTGGTATGATTTTAACATTCATCTTACTTTTAAAGTGTATTTATAACGTCCATTCTATTTGGTAGCAATCTATCCTGACCATCTCACCAGTGTCCATTTCTGACCTCTTGCTCAAAGCCTCACAGTGAGAGGAGGGCCAACTTCTGCCATCCTGGGGCACCAGCAGCTCCAGTCTGTGACTTCACACCAACACAGAACCTCAGCACCAGAGTCTAGCCCCTTCTCCCATTTTGCAAGTGGGAGAGTCTGGTCCAGAGATATGAAGTGACTCACCCAAGGCTCAAGGCCAATGGTGGAGCGAAAATGGGGTCCCAGGCATATACCCAGCTTGGGGGTTTCTGTGTTATCAGATTGTCCCTTTTCAGGGGTTGACTTGATTATTCCATTTCACACTGAGATTCTATTAATTAAATGCAAATCACAGCCCCCCTACATTCAAAGGGGACACTTACACAAAAGCTTGTATAGCAAGAGGTGGCGCTCAGGGGGCCTCCTCATGGCCTCCAACTACAGTAGGCATTAATTATGTCAAATTTTTGTTGTTGTTATGTGTTTTTGATGTGAGGACTTAGACTGGGTTCTGGGCTTCCATGTGCAGTGATTTACGCACTAAGAGGGCTACCCCAAAGAATGAGGAAGTCAACAGTTTTAAAACTATATTCAGGAGAGCTTCTACATTTATTATGGCCTTTCTCACACTATTTTTTTTTTTAATTTTTTTTGTTAGCGATAGCAAACTAAGTCCCAGTCGTGGAAATAGAAGCTGACACTCTACCCCTAGCCCCCGTCCCCCTAATGGAACCTCTCCCAGCACAGATGGGAGATGCCCTGAGCCCTGCCCATCCCATCTGGCGCTCATCTTAACACAGTGTTGCCAAGTCTTCCTACAGGCATCTCAACCGGAGGCTGTCAATTTTGCCGGGTGGGGAGCATAGCCTTGCTTTCCACTTCCTTCCATTTATTCTCCTCTTTCCCAATTTAAAACAGCTGGAATCTTTCTATAATGACTAAAATCTCACTCAATCCTGAGCAAATAAGGCCGGGGAGGGGAACAGGCAAGAGTCAAAGGAAAGAGGACTGGGGATTACTTCTAAAACCAGGCACCCAAAGAACACTAGAGTGTTCTTTGGCATCTGCAAGATTTTTCATCCCAACAGACTCTTCCCTGCCCCATTATTCAGAACTAGTGGGGGAAAGCAACAGACCTCCCCCAAGCCGTGTCAATCAGAGGCCAAGGCAGGATGCCAGGTGCTTCCTCATGCTCCTTGGCTGCACCTGCTGCTAGGGACAGCAGGGGGCGCACTACTGTCAGTCAGGAGCCAGGACTCCTCATCTACCAGCCCAAGTCCCAGGCACAAAGCCTGGCACCAGGAAGAAGGCTGGCCCAGTGTTGGTGTTTCCTCCATAATTTACACAGGTAACTTTATTCTTAACGTGATAGTGTTAAGAATAAGAATGGGCCTTTGCTCTCGTGATTGGGGTTAGTGCCTTTCTCAACGAGCTGGAGTCTCTCTGCTTTCTGCTACGTGAGGGCACATAGAAGGGGCCATCTATGAGGAACAGGTCCACACCAGACACTGACTGTGCTGACCCCTGACCTTTCTGGCCCTCCGAGACTGTAAGCGATGAATTTCTGTTGTTTACGAATTACCCAGCCTAAGGTGTTTTGTTATAGCAGTTCAAACAGACTGAGACAGAGGTCCTTAAATGTTTATTGATTGAAGAATAAAGGACTAATGAAGTAGGACATGAACCCAAGATGCTGCTCCTGTTTCTATCAGAAAGACTCTTTTGCCAGGTACCAGAGGGTGTGGGACGTTGGCCTGCAGGAAGGAGCCAGGCTGAGGTGTTGGGTGTCTCTGCTCAGGAACACAAAGCTGGCAGTCCTGAGATACCTCCTATATGAACAAAGTTGTTATCGGTAGGGACACTTGTGTCCTTCCATGGGGTTGGGGGGAGGGGAGATGCCGTGGAGAATTAGAGAAGAGTATCTGCCCAGGGCTGCAGTGTCTCCCCCATTCCCATTTCCCCCCATATGGTGAAACACAGAAGGGAGGAGAAAGCTCCTTCAGCTGGCACAGGTTTAAGTTTGAAGTAAGCTGAAACCAGGCACAGTGAAGGGTCCTTGTGGCAGGTGGCCCAAGAGGTAGGGTTTCCCACTGCGCTGGAGTTTCAGGTCTACCCTTGCTCTAGCTTCTCCATATACCCCCAACGGATAACTATAAATTATCCACTAGAGGACAGGCCTGTCATCTCACAATGGGAAATGCTGCACTGGGTGAAACTAGTCCTGGGAAAGGTGGCAAACCGACTCAAGTGTGTGCTGTAAGCTCCATGTGATACCTGGGGATCAGGGGACAGGAGGGCTCTTAGCAAGGGGAACAGGAGTTGTGGAGGCACAGGTGGCCTGTTCAGAACTGGAGATGTTCTCTGCAGTGCCCAGGGACAGGAGCAGTGGGGTGTCTGCCTGCCCTGGCCTGCCAGCAGCCAGCCCTGACGCTCCCACTAACCAGAGAGAAAAGCAAGTCTCCGCTGTCCTTCATGCTAGCTTCTCTTGGCAAAAGAAATAAAACGGCCCACTTATTTTTATCGCTCACAGATTTCCTGGGAAATGGGCTATTAGTTTCTCTAATGTAAAGATAATAGGCTTGTCCCCCTTGGCAAACGGCACAGCCCCAATATAAACATACTCACAGAACTGTCAGGAGGCCTCCCAGCTGATGATGAAGGGCCCAGGAGCAGGAGCAGGACCTAGACAGGAGCTTCAGGCTTGGGCTCCCCACCCCTACCTGCAGGGGCTGAGCACTCCGTGGCCAGGGAAAGGCCATTCTGGTCCTCAGAGTTCAACTTTTCTCCTCTGGCTGGTGGAGTAGGAGTGGCATTGGTAAAGGAGATGGGCCAAATGAGTAAAGGTGTCTTCTTCTGGCAGAGGTGGGGGGACAGATGTTACCAAGCAGGCTCACACAGGCAGTGTTTCTGGGCCCTGCCACTGAGGCCCTAGAAGAAGTCACCCCCCATCGTGTAGCCCTCACCTCTAACCCTCACAAACACCTAAGGGCAAGCAGATACTAGAATCATGAGCCCATGAAACAAGGTGGGAAACCTAAACATGTGACAGGGGAAGTCAGTCAGCCATGGTCCAGCAGCAAGTCTATGGTGGAGCGAGGCCTGGAAAGGAGGGCCAGGGACTCTAGGCCAAGGACTGATGCTCCCCAGAGAAGCGGGCACTGCTTGCTCCTTTGTCCTCATCTCCTTCATCCCTGCCCTCCATCTCCATCCTCCAGGACAAAACTTCAGGGACTCAGGAGTGAAGCCGGGAGAGGGGGAGGGAACACAGCACTCAGAAAGCTCCCCTTCCCTCTTCCCACCCACACAGAGTGGGAATCCCTTGGCCTTAGGCGAAGGACACTCTCTCACACCCAGAACAGGAGAAGGGCTTGGCTCTTCCATATCCTGGGGACTATCCCAGGACCCTGAAAGCACCAGAGGATTTAGTCACAACTCTCTCCTAGTGTCATGTTGGGACTTCACTTCTCACATGCACACCTGTCTCTCATCCCGGCTCCCGGGGTCCTAGCTGTACCTTTTTTTGTTTGTTTTTCTTTTTTAACTCTCCCACGAAGCCTTGGGCAGTGATGGACAGGTTATTGGAGCTTGTTGCTCTCTCCTGATTGCTCTGAATGGGTCAGTGGACAATGGCTTGGTTTTTGCTGGCCACACGAGTGTGCTACTTACAGACCTCTTTTCCTTCCTGAGTCTCCTCTTCCTGTCATTTTCTGGGGCTACATCTGTGTCCCTGGAAGCTCAGGTCTACAGCTCGACTATACTCCCACCTCTGCAGCCCCTGTCCCCAAAGCTGTGGAAGCACAAGCAGGTGGATAGCAAGGACAGCCTCACCCAGACAGCAAAGGCAGTCACCTGACTGGACCCTTCTCTTGGCTATTGGGAGCCTGAGGGTAGGCACCATGGTCTCAGGTTAAGGGAAAAGGGACGCACAGTGTCTTTCTGTTCTGAAGAAGAAAGAGGCTCTGTCTAGAGCCATGGGGACTCTGGGCCATGCTTGAGCAGAGCTGTTCAGCCTAGTAGGGGGAGGCAGACCTGGTCCCTTAATAGCTGCTCTGGGGCCATGAGAACCCTTCAAGGGAACAGTAATGGGAGTAAAATCATTCTGCATTTCAGAAGCAGGACCACAAGCCCAAGAGGAAACAGGGAGCTCCCAATACCCTCCCGCCACTTTAAAAGTTCAAAAATAAAGAATGGCTGCACCTGCCGCTGGAGGAAGGAGGGGGAAAATCACCAGGAAACACGGAGGATGAGGCCAGAATTTTATGGAGTACATAAGTACTGATCGACTGCTCCTCCTCCTCCACCTTCTCCACCTCCTTCATGTTGCTGAAGCTCTGAGGCCACAGCCTGTGGCTCCTCCTTCTTGGTCGGCTCTACACATGGCTGCTGTGCCAGGAGGCGACAGGCCAGCCGCTCCAGGCCATCCAAGCTCACCCTCTGCACGTGCTCCTCATGCTTCTGTCTTAGCAGCTGCAGCACAGCCTTAGCATCCTGGGGCCCAAAATGTTTGGCTAGGACCTGGCCCAGCTGGTGCCACAGGGGCTGGGTTTGGGGGGCTTCTTCCGGTGCCGCCTTCTCCAGGGGCCGCATGATAACATTGATGGAGGCATTGGGCCCAATGCAGTAGTCGGAGAGACGCTTGTCATCAGCCAACAGCTTGCCGCGGAACAGCAGGTGCTGCTGCTCTGCAGGTATCTGCAGCTGCTGGGACACCAGCTTCTTCAGTGTGGCCACACTCTCGTGGCCCGACACCCTAAGGTTGCATCTACGGCCCAAAAGCAGCTTGACTGTGAGGAACATTGGGCCACAGCAGAATCAGGAGGGATCCATGCTCTGAAAGTTGCCCCTGGAGATGAAGGGGCCCTAGAGGAAAAGGTGGCCCTATACTAGAGGGCCAGTGGTTCCAGGAGGCTGGGGGCCCAACCCAGGTGGGCGGGCACTGGCTGACACACAGTGATGTCACAATGCTGCAGAAAGGTTCATTTCCGGAGCAGAACTTTCGGGACAGCAGAGGGACATTGTGAGCATAGAAAGAGGAGGAGAAAAGAGAAAATAAAGAGGACCAGGAGAGAAATATGTAGGCCTTGGGGAAGAGAACAGGGACAAAGAAAGGGCCGGAAAGGACAAGGGAGCCACGGGAGCATGCTGCTTCACTGGGCACACCTCTTTTCCTGCCTGAGTCTTCCCTTCCTGCCATTCTGAGAAGGGATGCCTTCTGGGTGCCTTCTCTGTGCCAGGACACTCCTACACCTCAGGAGCCCGCTGTATCCAAGTGGACATCGCTGCTTTCACGAAGCCTTCAGACTAGTGCACCTGCTGCCTTTGCCCGGGGTCTTCTTCCTGTCAAGCACCTTCCAAGCTCTCCTGGATGGGTTTCCCAGAAACAGACCCTGGGACAGGGATTTGAGTACAAGTGTTTAGTTGGGAGTTGATTCTCAGGGGGTTTAGAGTCAACCAGGAGCACATCCAAGTAATGCTGCCTCAGAAGCCATAAGCTGATCTCTGTGCTCTGACTCCTGTCTTGGGTTAATGGAGTGCTAACTCTGTGGCTTCCTGGTGTCTTCTCTGGTCTCCTGACCCTTGAGCCGAGACTTGCAGGTGTCTGCAGGAAGAAGCCAGCAGCCTTCAGGAACATGAGTGGTGAGGGGTCAGGGCAGGGCCACCAATAGTGTCTACTTCACATCAGAGACCTTATTGAACGCTCACCACCTACAAAGCAGGTACTGTCATGCTGTCTGTCAGTCAGAGGAGAGAGTGGAGACTCAGCTTAATCTCAGCCCTATTTACCTGGCCTACCTCCTGAAACCAACACCTGTTCAGTGCTTCCATGCGCTGGCAACTGAACAGACCCCTGGGGCTCACAGGTGAACAAGGAAAGGGACCCTGACCAGCCTCCTTCAGGCCAGCTCTGCTGTTGCATTTGGCAGTTTTTTGTGTAACTGAGGGCCTCCTGGGTCTAGCCCTTCACGTGTGCTGTCACATGTAATCCTGGAGGAAAGCATTGTCACAGATGAGAAGTGAGAAACCTGGGGAAACCCTGACTGGTGTCCCCCAGCTGGGGTGCTGACTCTGTCAGGGACCCCTCAGGTCTCCCCAGCTCTCTGTGCTCATCTGCGTGCTTGTCCACACCCAGGCCTTCCTCCACTCCTCCCTCCCGCTCACCCGGCCTCCTTGTCCTTATCACCAGCATGGACTCTACAGGGGCATGACACTGTTGCCAAAATCCTAGGACCTTCTGGACTTGATCTTCCACAATACTCAGCCCCTGATCCCATCCCAAGTTCCCTCCAACCTTCTCCCCTGGCAACCAAGAATGGCTGAAGCAGGGCACAGGCGCGCACACCTGTAACCGCAGTGGGTCGGGAGGCTGAAGCAGGGGGATGGAGAATTCAAAGCCAGCCTCAGCATCTTAGCAATTCATGAAACTCTGAAAATAAAATGTTAAAAAGGGGGTGCCTGGGCTGGGGTTGTGGCTCAGCGGAGTGCTCGTCTAGCACCAGCGAGGCCCTTGGTTCGATCCTCAGCACCATATAAAAATAAATAAAGGTATTATGTCCAACTACAACTAAAAAAGGGAGGGTGCCTGGGGATAGTGGTTGAGTGCCCCTGGGTTCAATCCAGGAGGAGGAGAAGGAGGAGGAGAAAGAGGAAGAAGAGGAAGAAGAAGAAGAGGAAGAAGAGGAAGAGGAGCAGCTAGCTGAAGAAAAACCTCATGCCCACCACAAACTTAGCCTTTACAACCCTCCCCCACATCTGTGTTCTCACTCTTGGTAGGTGACCCAAATTCTAGTCCATAGAGGACCTAGAGCTCACAAGTCAGGAATTCACTGACCTCTTGTCCCTCCCTGTGCGCTGCCCCTTCCCTACCCCCTTCTCCTCCCCTCACTTCTACCAAAGGAGCCCTCTTGTCATTTCCCTTTTTCCTTGCAAATGTCTCTGAGCTCCACCCCTCTTCTGCATCCCCACTCCCACCCCACCCCACTTAGGCTCTCTCCTCCCTCCAGCCCGTGGCTCCGAACTCACAGTCCATCTCTGTCCAGCCTCACCACCTTCTGTCCATCAATGCCACAACCAGAGGGATCTTCCTAAAATAAAAATAAGTGTGCGTCACTCCTGTAACACCACCCAATTCTAACCCCTTTGCTTTTGGAATTGAACCCAGCCTCTGAGGTCTACACACAGATCATGGCCTGGCCCTGCTTGTCACCCTAATCTCTTTGTCTCCCCAGTCTTATCATGTCCCTACTTTGCATCCTCCACTTAAACCACACCCACCTGCCATTCCCTGCTTGTTTGCCATGTTTGAACTCTACCAACCACAATGCTGCTTAAAAATCCCTTCCTCCATGAAGCCTTCCCTGTCTTCTGGAGTCTGGGGCAAAGTCAGTCCCACCTCCCTCAGTGCAACCACAATTTCCCGTGAACACTCCTGGGTTGATGCACCTGGCACGTATGTGTCTCCCTCAGTGACTCTGAGAGGCAGGGACTGGGTCTGGTCTCTCTTTGTAGTCAAACCTTCACCTCCAGCACACCAAGACTGACACACAGATGGCCTTGGAACCATGCTTGTCAAATAAAGCAGATGTGATTTAGACATACTGAGCCACACAGGAGTACGCAGAGGCCAGTACTGAAGGCTGTAGAAAGATGTAAACCTGCCTGCAGCCTCTCCCTCCCCCCATCTCTAGAGAGACGAAAATCCAAACTTACACAAAAAATAAATCAAAGTGATTCCAGTCTTTACCAAAGGATCTTCTATAGTATTTCTTTAAATAACCGACTCCCTGGATGCATTTGAAATAAGGCAATTTGCAAATATACATACAGTATTGGGGGCAGAGGCATGGACTCCATGATAGCACAGCATCTGTGCAGAGGGAAGGGGAGGATGGATGAGGATTCTCCAGGGCCAGTTCTCTAGGAGCTCCCGGTCTTTGGAGGGAAGGACCCTGCGGTGGACAAACTATCAGATGGACTTGATAGTTTTGGGGCCACCCTGTGGAGATGCCCAGAGCAGAACCAACCCAGGAAGGCTTCCCAGAGGGTGAGATTTGAGCCATTTTCTACAGGAGACAGAAGGAAGCTGGGATGGGAATAAAGTGGTCTGTAAGATCTCTAAGGCCATGGGTCTTTTGAGGAAGGACAGAAGCTGGAGTTGGAGTATGAAGGAAGAGATCAGCCACTGCATCCAGCCTATTCTCCTAGACCCCTCTACTCAGCTGTGAGCTGCCCAGGACATCAGAAGCCACTGAAGAAGACACATTAGGCCTGAGCTTCTAGAAACACACAAGGGCCACAGCCCAGGCTCCATATCCCCAAGGCCCACGGCTACATGCAGGCAGGAGCCAGCTGACAGGGTCTTTGAGGGCCATGCCTATTGATTCACACTTGCTACCTGGTTTAGGAAGTGCCACTGTCCATGGACCATAAGGACAGAGCTTCTGAATCAGGGTATCTGGAGAAGCTGAGAGAAGTGGTCACTGTTCAACCCCTACATTGGTGTCCTAGAGTCCCCACTGTCCTTCCAAGGTAGACAGTAGGGGCACCTTGCTGGACTCTCAAATCACATTGGGAGCCTGGAAATTTCCAAAGTTTTCCCACATAATTGCTTGTCCTAATTATGCAATTAACATGCGAAAATACAGTTGTGTAACCAGAGCATGCAATCCAACAATGATTGCTGTAATTAGGGAGGAAGATCATGTGGAATGAGTGGGTTTTGTGACTTGGAAAAAAAGGAACAAATGTCCAGTCGAGAGTGAGGGACAGCAGTGGGCTCAGATCCTCCAGAAAACAATGGCAAATGTAGTCAGTGTCACAGTGCCTGGTGGGGGAAATGGGTGGGGTTGGGAGAGGCCTGTGGCACTGGTGTGTGGGCAGCCAGGTTCCTCTGTGCAATGCTTCTGAATGGGCTGATTGAACTTTGGGACACTGAGGGACCTGGCACAGTGTGTGCCTCCCAGAGACATTCAGGTGAATGAATTAATTTACAAATGTAAATGAAGCTCCTCCTGTCACCCTTCTACACTCAGGAAAGATCTCTTTAGGCCTAGAAATATGCCCCACAAAGTATGGTTCCACAAGCCCCCCCCCCACCTGCACAGGTGGGCAGGCAAAGCCATCCCCAGCAGGCAGACCTAGGCAGAGAGGGTAAGATAGGGGTGGGACAGGATCCCCGGCTGAGGGGCTCTGGGCCATGAGTTTGCAGCCATTCCCTGGGACTTCCTGGAAGGTCTATCAGGAAGATAAGCTCTGACCCCTGCCCCACCTTACTCATAATGCAAGTTATCAAGTTATTGTCCTTTGATGACACCAGGCTGAACTTGCAGGGGCTGCTGAGGAAGGAGAGAAACAGAGACAAGGGCAAAAATGTTCACCCCTACAGGCCCCCTCTGAGAACAGTGTCCCTTTCCCACTTCCCTTAGAGTCTGGAAAGATTCATGGGAAAGCCTGGGCAGAGAAAGTGGAATCCATCCTGAAGGGGCTGAGAGCCCACAGTCATGGCTCCCAGCACTACCTGCTGCCTCCACCCCACACAGCCCCAGCACTCAATGGCACACCTTGAGCACCCATGATGTGCCGCACCCTGAAAGGCAAGGCCAACAATGGAAGTTCCCGGATGGCCTGTGGCAAGGGCTGCCCTGTGTGACTTCCTAGTCTATCACCAAGGACTCTCTGCTCCTTTGAGGGGGGGAGATCTCATGAGGCTGCTCTGTGCCCCACCAGACCTAGCTCAGGACAGAACAGGCAGCTCTTTAGAAAGGGGTCTCTGAGCAAGAGGAGGATAGCAGATCTCTTGGGGCCACAGGAGCCCAGGGTACACAGGTTACAGTCCTACACCTGCTCTTGCAGACAATGCACAGCCAGCATGTGTCTAGGCTTTGGTCCTTCACCAGACAGCCTATTGTCCTGGAGCCCTAGAGAAGTGCTGGCTGGGGCAATTCAGAAACCTGGCCCCTAAGCGGAGCAGAAACCAGCTAGAAAACCTTGTGAGGCTGCAGCCTGCTTTGACCACTAGATGTCACTGGCGACCTCCCCTGCCAGCTCCAGTGACCAATACCAACCAAGCGAGCCTGGGATCTGGGACTTCACCCGGGCTGGATTCAGAGCCTCATCACAAAGGAGCCCCACATTGGTCATGTGTGGGACACAGATATCAGGGCCTGCCCTGAGTGGGGCACTGTGTCAGGTGCCAAGGCAGGAGAAAGACAGAAAGATGTGTCCCTAGGGGAGGAGGCACATAAACCTGTCACTTCAGCACCATGCCTAACTCTACCATAGAGGAGAAGGAATTCCTGACTCCAAAAAGAGGTGCAGCAGGTGACAGCGCTTCACCAGGGAGGGACCTTTGGGGGGGGCGGTTGAAGGAGCTACAAGAGGTGCCCCAGGGCAGAAGGCAAAAGGGTTCAGCATACACACATCTGTGTGGAACAGTGAGGGATTCTGTATACCTAGAGTGCCATGAGGGAGGGAATGGGGAGGTAGCTATAAGAAGGTCAGGGCCAGTCACCTTCACAGAGTTGCTCTTTACTGGAGCCAAATCTTCCAGAATTTGGACTAAATCCCTGCAGTGCACAGCACAGAAGTCCCAAAGGAGCAACCCCAGCTATTGCACTGTGGGCTCTTTCTCTTCCCCTCCCTCCCCCACCTCCCTCCCTCCCCCCAC